AAAGAATAATAAATTAAAAGTAAAATAATTCTTTATTAAATATTAATATTTTTTATTAAATACTTATTATTAACTTGATACATAACATTCACATATATTTATTTATATATTTAAAAACATTACATTTATCTCTAATGCTGCAAGAACTGAAGGGACAATTTCTTTTCAATTTTCAGTGGATAAATGATGAGATAAATTTTGAGCCAGATTAACTAAGACAACCTTTTTTTATTTTTTGTATGTGTTTATATTTTCTCTCTTTAATAAAAAATTAAACTAAAAGAATTATGCAGTCACAAATATACAGTCACATATTATTATTATGCATATCACTTTTAACTTTCAATATATATACTGAGACGAAACTCCAGTAAGGACTAAACTGCTGCGTGGCACAGATTCACTTCGGTACAGAATTTAAATCATTAAAAGGTGATTAGTTGGCCACGTTTCTAGGTGAATCAGAGTATTTTCACTCTATTTTCACCTGGAAAACCTTAAAAATTTAGGGAATATTATAAATCTGAAAGAAACCTGGAAGAGCCAGTGAATGTTGCTTGGAATCTTGAAAATCAAATTACTATTTATTGCAATATTTATTATTATTATTAATAACTTTATATTTATTAATATTAATACTAATTAAAAATAATAATTATTATTAAAAATAAAATAACATTCATAATAATTTATTAATATTAATTACCATTTATTGTAATATTTATTATTATTATTATCAATAATTTTATACGTATTAATATTAATAATAACAATTAATAATATTTATTATTAAAAATAAAAATATATTAATAACAATAACAATCTTATTTTCTGGATTTGAAACACATTTAAAAATACGCGGCTAGACTTTCAATATGGTCGTCACTTCGTCCGCATTCTGATTGGTGCTTGGTTCCACGTTTTTTTTGCCTGCGCGTGGCGAGACCTTGTTACTTGGATCATGGGCCAAATGCTCTCTTACCAAATCAGTTCTACTTTGGAGTTCTTTCGTAATGTACTTCAGAGTAGTCCCAAAAATAGTTATAAGAATAACATCAACTTGTGTAATGTTTTGACTTTAATAAATGTATTGGGTTTACTCGCGAATTTAGTTGGATTAATGATTAATTAATATTATTAATTATTAATTGATCCTTCTTATTCGTGAGGTTTTTCCCTCCGTTTTAACGGAAATTAACTTGTTTTATTTGAATATTTCCGCCTTCCTTTTCAAAGGATTAAACCAAGGGTGTTTTCGACGTTGACACTCTGGGGCCGTATTCTCGAAAGCATTCGACAATTCTCGCATGCGTAAAATGTCGAATGGTTAATGTCGCATGCGACTCTGAAAGTCTATTCTCAATGACCGTTCGAGATAGGTTGTTCGAAAATTTCCGTGTGCGACATTCATACATTGTTGCCGTCGTTTCCAAATACTTATCTGCCAATCATAATTGAGGAGGAAGAGAACTTGACATATGAGAAAAATACAAATAGTTATCGAGAATAGCTTTTTCCATCTCGAATGGTCTGTCGCATGCGACATCTAGGGTCATCGATTCGAGAATACGGCCCCTGAGCGCTCTGAAAGTACGAAACGTGGTTGGTTGGGCTAGGGGAATTCTGAATGTTGATTGGCTGAACTTCAAAATTCATAGTTTTATGCTCTGGTTTCCACACTCTGTATCGCTCGGACCTTTGATACCGAGCGATACAGAGTGTGGAAACCAGAGCATAAAACTATGAATTTTGAAGTTCAGCCAATCAACATTCAGAATTCCCCTAGCCCAACCAACCACGTTTCGTACTTTCAGAGCGCTCAGAGTGTCAACGTCAAAAACACCCCAAGATTGAACATCAAATCAAATCGCGGATCTTACGCCTGCGCGTAAATAACGTAACTCCGCACGTAACATGTTATTTAAAAAGAGCGCGAATATATAAATTTTATTTTTGTTAAGAGAAAGTACTCATAATAAATCTTATTTTGCATTGTCAAAAAAAACGTCAACATTTCAAATATAAATAAGCAAATTATTAACTGAAAAAATTTGAATATTATTATTAATGAAATAATGGACTTGGACAATGGACATATAAAAACTAGCACCGTAGACGGCCGCTTGCGGCCGTCGGAGGAGCTAGTCATGATAAAATATGCATTTAAAAATAGTGTAAAGTTCGTTCGCATTTGAAGTTATGATGGAATTTCCGATTTTTTCATCATTTTCCCTGACTGTTTCCGGTTTTCCATATACTTTTGTATTTCCCTGACAATTCCCGGTTTTCCCCGATTTCCAGACCTGTTTTCCATTTGTATGAGAAATTATTCTTATACGATGAACTTGTTACATTAGTGTTATTATCCATTATTGTGTTCTCTATTTTTAATATATATTTTTTTTACTGAAAGAGCGTATTACGTGGATCAACAAAAAAATAGAAATAAAGAAAAATTGAAAAAATGTTTTTACAATTGAAATTTCCTCCGTATGTCATTATTAACTATAATAATCGTCGTATTCATTCTGTCCAGTCTGTCCACACCTGAAGTTAGTCATGGTTATTCTTTTGTTTTTTATTCGTTTTGATAGAAAATAGAAATAAAATATAAAATAACGATTTTTTAACAAAATTTATGCTTTTGTTTTTTATATGTTTTGATAGATAATATTACATTTCTTTATTTTGTTTGTATTTTTTTTTATTTAATGATATTATTTTTATTTCTCAAATAATTCAAGAAAATATTTTTATTAATCTAAAAAAATTATTAATATTATTATACTATTCATTATTTCCTTTGATTCTAAAAAATTAGCATTTTGTAACAAACATTTTAGAAAATTAACAAATGTAAATCCTGTAAAATATTTTCTTTTTTTTAATATGAAAAACTTTATTACTTAACAAAATTTTGACTTCTTCCTTGACTCTAAAGAATATTCTGATTCTCTCTAAAAATGATTAGATACTCCAAAAAATGTTCCATTACATTTATTTACGAATTTCTTAATTCTAAAATTATTTAAAAACATCAATTACTTCTTTTCTAAATAAATTTTAATCATTATTATTTTCCCACAGGAATAAATTATTTTTAATAATTTTTGAAAAAAGTTCTTTGAGAATTTTAAAATCCATTTGTTTACGAAATTTAAATTATTCAGAAATTCTTCAACTAAATACGAATTAAAAAATAAATACTTCAAATAATTTCAGAAAAAAATTCAATTAAACTTTTTTAAAATAATTAATTCTACAGAATTGTTAGTTATAAGTATGAAAAATACAAATTTTTAAAGAATCTGATTTGGAACCATTTTAAAATTTAATTATTTCTTAAAATTCATGCTATAATGCTTTTAATATTCAATTATTATGTAGAACTTTAACTGAAATTCATTTTGAAATAAATTTTTATTAGAGAATTCAATAATTTGAATGCAAAAATAAATAAATTATTGAATAATTAAAATTTCTTAAAATTTAAGTCTGATAAAGAATTTTATCAAGACATTTTTAAATTAATTTTTTAAAGGCACAAATATGAAATTTTATGCAAAGTTAGCAAAGCAGTGATATATTTTGTAAATTTCAATTTTTAACGAAATTTTTTAAAATTTTTTAATTATTTTTTGTGATTAAGTATAGTTAAGTGATTAAGTACCAGTTTTTATTGTTAATAGGCATTATTATTAATTATCTATTAATACTAGGAGAAACTACACGCGCGTTTTTTTAGCTGTCACCTGTAATAATTTCAAAAGATAACATTTTTGTAATTTTTCATAAATTTTTCGAAGAATTTTTTATTGAAATTTTGTAAAGATAATCGGATTTCTTTTGAGTAATGATAATAATAATAACAATAATAATAATAAATTAAATACTTTGTTTGGCAGGCGTGACATTTACTACTTATTTATATTATTTATAAAAAAAAATTTAAATACAAATTTCATAAAATTCAATTATTTTTTTAATTTTTAAATAAAAAATTATTCCAAAATAATTTTTTCTCGATAGTTTTTCAAAAATTAAATTATTTAAGAAAATTAATTTTAAATCTGTAAAGTCTAATTATTGTTAAAGACAGGAAGAGTTTGAAATATATAAAATCTTTTCAATGCTCAAGAATAACATTCAGAATTTTCTTATGAATTCTTGAAATTGAATATTATTCCAGCACTTTTGACAAAATTTTCTGACTTTTTCCTGATTTCCCTGAATAAATTTAGAAAAATAGTGATTTTGTGTAGAATTCTTCTGAATAATTGAATTTTTGAATGTTAATGATATGAAAATAATATTAATTAATTTTGACTAGAAAACTATTAGAAACAAAATAACAAATAAATAATTAATTCTAATTAAATGTAATTTATTTTTGATAATTAATAAGTCAAAAATAATGTAATGAACATATTTTTCATTATCGTCTCATTGGCATTCACGCTTTCATTAATTTTCATGTGACATGTAATGTAAAAATTAAATTATTGTTATATATATGTTAAAAGTGAAACAAGAAACTTCACGCGCGCGTTATTTGTGCTAGTTCTATTAATAATTTGAAAAGAATGTTAGAGTTTAATTTAATTACCATGACACAGAAACGAAATGTTCATTTTCTTTATTGATGTTGCACTGTATTATGAAATCAGCTTTTAAGACATAGAGTCTCGATGTACAAAAATACAAATTTGAGAAAAGAAATTTTCATCGTCGTTGTTTAAATTAATATTGATTAATACACTGAGAGACCTTTGGGACTGTAGCGGAACAACGTATGTGACAGCAGCTCCACTATGGTTTTGGTGCGCTGCGGTAAAATTTTGGGCGCGTGACAGTCCCAAATGTTGGTGAGCAGCTCACCGAAGTAGTGGGAATGCGGCCTTTGGTTTGCAGCTGAACAACTTTGGGACTGTCACGCGCCCAAGATTTTACCGCAGCAACCCAAAAGTATAGTCCTGTAGCCTTCCTCCAAAATGGTCAGTAGCAGCCTATCGAAAGTCTGCTGCTGACCTAAAGGTCTCTCAGTGTAGGATTAGAATAGTGTTCCGTCGTGAGGTGGTGGGGGAGGTGGAGGTCCTCTTGGTGGGAATGGAGGTCTGAATGTAGGAGGAGGTGGTGGGGCATTTTGCGATACGGGAGGTGGTGGTGGTCTCCAGCCAGGTGGTGGCCTTGGGGGTGGTGGCTGGAACTGAGGAAACTGCCCCTGAGGAGCGCCCATGTTCCACGGTGGCGGTGGTGGCATCATTCTTGGAGCATTTTGATTTTGCCCTCCGGGAATTGGCATTGGCGGCAATGGTGGTGGCATGCCTGGCGGCAGTGGGGGATGGGACATGTTCATGGGAGGCAGGGGCGGCGGTGGAATTGCAGATGGGAATTGTGAGGACGGGGGAGGAGGAACTGGTGGCGGCGGCGGATGTCCCATGGGTGGAATCGGAGTGCTCGGAGGTGGCGGCGGTGGAACCACCATGCCGTGATGATGGTGCATCATGTGATGCTGAGGATGCTGAGGTGGTACTTGGTGATGATGGTGATGATGGTGAACTGGCATTGGCGGCGGTGCCAATGGCGGTGCGTCGGCGAACAACTGATGAGGTCTGTCCGCTTGACTCAGTGGATTCTGTGCTGCCAATAATCTCTCCGCGGCACTTCCGTGTCTTTCGCCCTTAGCATCACGTTTGAATGCATAGGACACCGAAATTGGACGATTGCACAGGTACTGGCCGTTCATGGCTTCAATGGACGCATCTGAGGCGTCGAAAGATGCGAAGTTGATGAAGGCAAAACCCTTCGAATTTCCCGTCTCTGGATCTCTCATAATCTGCAAAATTTCATTATTTAAATATCCATTTCTTTAAATTTCTTTAATTTTTTTTAAGAAACTTAGAAAAAAATTAGTTTAATTCTTGGGACATGTCCCGAATCAAATTTAAGTGGATGTCAAAGTTGATACGATTTTTTAACAGAAAATCTATGTAAAAATCGGGACTCAAAAAGTCACACAAATTTCATTTTATATTTCCCTGACCTATTATTGATTTCTAAATTTAACTACCTATTAAAACTTCAAAAGTTGAATAATTTTGTTAAATAAATATTTGAATTTATATATTTATTTTTCTACAGAAATTAAAATTTAAGAAATTTTAATTTCAAACCTTGTAAAATTTAATTATTTCTAAAAATTACCTTTCGAAATTTTATTATTTTCTAGAATTTTTAACTAAACTTCTTCTTTAAATCAAATATTTTTAATAATTTTCCAAAAGTTCTTTGAGAATTAAATTATATAAATTGAAAAAATTTAATTTTTTAAAATAATTGTAACTTTTTTTAGAAAAATTTTAAGGTGAGTTATTAGAAATATGTAACCAAAAATATTTTAAATAATTGATTTTTAAAAAATTATATTAAGAGTCATTCCATTATATTTCGACTAAAGTCGTTGCCGACTAATTTTAAAAAATTGTAATATTTTGCAAGAATGATTTTAAAGATATTAGGATCACCGAACAAAAAAAATTTTTTAAATATTTTTTATATTTATTGTAAAATAAGCATTAGAGCTGTGCAAAATTCGAACCGAACCGAGTTTAGTTCGGTTTTGGGGCGCCGAAATGTCGAATGTCGAATATTCGACATCCGAACTGGGCGACTAAAATGTCGAATTTTAGAATTCGACATTTTAGCGTACCAAAACCGAACAAAACTCGGTTCGGTTCGAATTTTGTAGTAACTCGAATGTCGAATATTCGACATCCGAACTGGGATAGTTTGAATGTCGGTTTTTCGACATTCGAACTGGGCTAGTTCGAATGTCGAATATTCGACATTCGAACTGGGCTAGTTCGAATGTCGAAAAACCGACATTCGAACTAAGCTAACTCGAATGTCGAATTTTCGACATTCGAACTAGGCGAAAAAATTCGAACAGTTCGGTTCGAATTATTTTGCACAGCTCTAATAAGCATCTAAAGTATATGAAGTCGTAAAAACTATCACATTTTCATCTATTAGAAAATATTAAAGAAAACACATAATTTACGATAAAAACGTAAAAAAATAATTAGAATTTATTAAGAATGAATTATTTTATTATTATAAATTGATAGAAACAATTATTAATAAGAAATATTAAATAAAAAATAATTTTAAAGTTTACATGGAAAATAACCTATTTTTGCAAATTTCATTCACTAAATATGAGAAAGAGAAATCATTAAATTGAATAAAACCTTATGAAATATAAAGTACCTGTGATTAACTTTTAATTTTTCTTATCACTTTCTTCCTGTTTTCTTCACAAATATTAAAAAATAAGCAATTAAAATTGGCACTTTGCTTATTTTCACGATTTTCAAATGTAAATAACTTCTGCCCAGAAAAATGAAAAATCACGAAAATTGGGCAATAATTAATTCATCACTAGATACACTCACTGGAAATAGATTTTCTTTGGTCCCGAAGCTATTTTCCGAAATAATTAATTTTTAACTTTTTACTATTTCTATCAGGTTAATACATGTGATTTCTTTAAAACTGAAGTTGGTTCAAAACGATTAAACAAGAAGAGCTAACTTCGTCCTTTAAAAAACACATGTATTAACCTGATAAAAATAGTAAAAAGTTAAAAATTAATTATTTCGGAAAATAGCTTCGGGACCAAAGAAAATCTATTTCCAGTGAGTGTATCTAGTAATGAATTAATTATTGCCCAATTTTCGTAATTTTTCATTTTTCTGGGCAGAAGTTATTTACATTTGAAAATCGTGAAAATAAGCAAAGTGCCAATTTTAATTGCTTATTTTTTAATATTTGTGAAGAAAACAGGAAGGAAGTGATAAGAAAAACTAAAAGTTAATCACAGGTACTTTATATTTCATAAGGTTTTATCCAATTTAATGATTTCTCTTTCTCATATTTAGTGAATGAAATTTGCAAAAATAGGTTATTTTCCATGAAAACTTTGAAATTACTTTTTATTTAATATTTCTTATTAATAATTGTTTCTATCAATTTATAATAATAAAATAATTCATTCTTAATAAATTCTAATAATTTTTTTACGTTTTTATAGTAAATTATGTGTTTTCTTTAATATTTTCTAATAGATGAAAATGTGACAGTTTTTACGACTTCATATACTTTAGATGCTTATTTTACAATAAATATAAAAAATATTTAAAAAATTCTTTTTGTTCGGTGATCCTAATATCTTTAAGATCATTCTTGCAAAATATTACAATTTTTTAAAATTAGTCGGCAACGACTTTAGTCGAAATATAATGGAATGACTCTTAAAGAAATTCGTAAAATTCTAAAAATTAGTTTTTTAAAAATAGTTTTAAAAAATTTCAAAAGGAATAATAATTATTTTCTCTTCTAAAATGTTGTTTATTTCCAAATAATTGAAATATATTTTGTGTGTGCTTGTTTCTAGGTTATAGTGGTAAGAAATTGGAAGAGAAAAACCAGAAAAACTCCTCCAATTAACAAATTAATTTTTATATTTTTTTTTAGTATTATATCATTACTGATTAATAGCTGCAAGAATAGTTACGCCCCTCGTTTTTTTCGACATAAAAAAAAATTCGTGAAATCGCTTTAGTTCGGAACAGAATCGAGTTACAGCAAAATAATACATGGCAGCTACAAATATAAAATTGTAGCTAAGAAGTCAAGTTTTCAAACGGTCCTACTCATTTTTTTATTTTTTTTTAAATACATTTTCTAGACTCAAAAATCCAAACAAGAATAGTAATGCCCCACCCTACCCTTTATATGGAGATTTTTCATTAAAATTTTAGAGCTGTGCAAAATTCGAACCGAACCGAGTTTTGTTCGGTTTTGGGGCGCCGAAATGTCAAATGTCGAATATTCGACATTCGAACTAGGCGAAAAAATTCGAACAGTTCGGTTTGAATTATTTTGCACAGCTCTATAAAATTTTTAAAAAATCAATTATTTTCAAAAATTTTAATGAAATTAATTCAATTATTGTCAATAAGAGTTTACAAAATTTCAATTATTTAAAAACTTTTTAATTATAGGTATTTCGAAGTTTGTATTAGAAAAAAAGGTTTGAAACCTAAAAATGAATCAGAAACATTTTTCGAAAGCTTACCTTTGGTGTTTGGAGTATAACACCGAAAGCACTGAATGTGTCATAAAGTAATTTCTCATCGACTTCGGGATCTAGATTTCCAATGAAAATATTTGCCCCCACGTCGAGATTCTTCTGATGAGCCGAAGCCTTATTAACTCTAATAGGTTTCCCATATAATTTAATCATGTTCATTATCTTAATGGCATAATCGGCATCCTCCTCGCCCATAAATTCGACAAAGCCATAACCTTGATGCATTTGTGTTACTCGATCCTTTGGCATGTGTACATTGACTGTTGAAGAAAAATCACAATTTAAAAATTAAAAAATGTCCTTATTTCGGTTAGAGGAAAAAAATAAACAGCTTTTTTGTTATTATAATAATCTTACCGACAGGACCGGCCTGAACGAAAAGTTCCCACATGAGAGACTCGGAGACTTTGTCGTCCAACCCACCGACATATATTGTCGCATCTGTAAAACAAAAACAGCAAAAATAAGTTTAAATTATAATCGTCATTTATTTTAGTCTTAAGTTTATTATCTATGTTAATTTAAATATCTCATTTCTGTAAAACTTTATCATTTTTGTGAAATTAATTTCAAATTAAAAACACAGATACTTAAAATATTACTAAATAAAGAATATTCTTTATCTTATAATTACAAAAATTTAATTGACGTAGATTATAAAGTTTGTAAATGTTTAACATAACCTCAAATTCCTAATAACTTTTCTACCATTTTTAAAACATTTTTTGACAAGTAACAATCAGTTTACTATATAATGTTTCACTTATAATTGAATAAAACTTATATATACTAATAGAATTCTACAAATTTGGCAGTTATTAAAGGGATAATAATGAGAGCACTTTACCTAAAAGCTAGGACATTGAAGCTCTCACTGAATTGATAATTAAATAATAAATTGAAAAGACAGATAGAAAATTGATTGTTAACAATACTTAGAGAATAATTAACTAAATTTTTCTTGAAAAATACCTTGATTTCTTTCTGCAATTGGGCCGGCTGCCATTATTTGAAACAAAACGTCAACCGACTTGACGGACTTGACTAACTTGACAACTTGTTGACAACAGTCAACACCAGGAAGGAAGAGTCAACACCAGTCAACACTGACAGTCAAGCTCAAGTTATAGTTTCTCATTTGGCTAACGTTGCTGAAAAGTTGATTTGACTTCAGTTGAGTAAAATGCGCATGCGCAATAAATTAGGAGAGAAGTTAAGGCCTAAGCACAATAGATTCGCGAAAGTCGTTCGCGAACGCAAAGCATGAGTTAGAAAAGGGCAGAGATATATTTGTGTCCTTGTCTAACTCATGCTTTGCGTTCGCGAACGACTTTCGCGAAACTATTGTGCTTAGGCCTTAAGTGCCAACGCTGAACATTTGAGAATTGAGGAGAGAAGTTTGAACACTAGATTTTGGAAGTTTTTGAAAATTTTATTGATGAACAAAAATTGAGAAAAACATATTTAAAAAAATCTATAAGCTTCTTAATTAACTTTCGTTTTTCATTATAAAGTTAAAAAAATAATTCGACACAAAATACTGGACATAAACGTATATTTTTTTACTTCATGTACAATTGTACAGAATTGTTTCTTTTATTCTACTGAAAGAAAATCCGAAATAATATTGAGTAATTGTAAAATTATCATAATTTAAGTAGAATTAAAATTTTCGAATAATTAAATTTTTATTCAACTGTCAGATTTTCTATAATTTATTCTAATAGTCAAAGAATTTTTTTTTATAACGTCAGTTACCAAATTCATTTTTCTCAAGTCTCCTTTTATCACAAAATATAGTGGGAAAAAAAATTGTTTTTCTTTTAATGTCACTATAATTGTTTCAACAAGAATCTCTCCCCCTCAAATAAAAAAAATTATTGTAGGAAGTAAATTGATTTTTTTATGAAATGAAATTAACTACTTGACACGCGAAAAACTTGCATTTTATAAAATTAAAAAGTTTCCTATATATTTTACATTTCTTTAAAAAATACGAGAATCTAGAATAAGATCGTTCACAGTAGCAGATTATAGTAAATTTTATTACTGACACACATCAATTTTTTTTTATTCAATCAGATTATTATTTCATTCAATTCAATTAGAAAATAGCTAAATAAATATTTTCAGCTGACACATTTATCTTGAAAAATAAAACGCAAAATGATTTCCATCCTTTGGAAAATTTTTATGTAAATCAATGAATGCCAGTAGAAAATACTGTTGACATTTCGTTGTTATTTCAGTATTTATGAATTTCTTATACCAAGTGCCTGTTCAAGTTCCGCTCGTTTTTGTTGTACTTTTGTGTAGAAATATCGACAAACAGCTTCTTGAGCCCAAGGTTGATAATAGAATTCAGCTCTCCTTTCTTCTTCCGGATTACCAACAACATCCGTCATTGTTTTTAAGTCTCTTGTCTGCGATATTATCCATTTATTGATAAATTGTTGTGGATCTTTTGCGAAACTTAGGAAAAATTCACGATTAGTTTTTAATTGAGTTATTGTGTCAACTGTCTCGTGAATTTTATTATCCAAACTTTGAATTTCCTGTTGACTCGCAGTTGATAGTAGAAAGTTGTTCATTTGAGTTTTTAATGTATCATCGACTTCCACGTCAATGTCGTAGCATGCAGTTTGTTTCGTTTCTGTTCCTGAAAATTCATTATTTCATTTTAATAATAATCTACAATTTCAGGGTGTCCAGCGATTCTTTAAAAAAAAATTCAAGGACTTTTCAAGGTTTTCAAGGTGCAAAATAATTTTTTTCAAGGTCCATTTTTAGGGTACTAATTTTCAAAATATTTGTTATTTATAATCGAGTGTAATAGAGTAAGTTCTGTTTATAAGTTTTCCTTAATAAGTTTATTTCAAGTAAATTTTTACTTACTCTCTAAATTTAAATACTAATTTGATTTAGTGACTGACTTTTTTCTTTTGAAGAAGTAAATTTTACTAATAAATAATCATTTCTACTAATTTTTTAGTGAAATTTACTAATTAAAAAGCAAAAAGTCAGTAACTAATTAAAATTAATAAATATTTTCACTAATTAAAATTTAGGGAGTACTTATAAACAATTTTATAATTTCTACATACATACAATAGTTATTCATAAACAACTTTAAATACATTTAGTATTGTTGAATTTATCACATGGTAAAATTATATTAGCATAAATAAGAAGTTATCAATCCTCCAAGTCAATCAATTGACTTGGAGGATTGATAACTTCTTATTTATACTAACTTTAAATACAATTTATTGATAAAATATTAGAAATATAAGGAACATAGATTTAAGAAACATCAATTAAAATTGTTTTTAAATAATTGAATTCTTTTGGAAATTTCGATTAAAAATAATTGATACACAAATTATTAAATTAAGAAAAATTTTTGAAAATACATTGAAATTTTGCAATGAGGTTTATTAAAATTTTTGAAAATAATTCAATTTTATTACTTTTGAAAATAATTAAATTACTGCAAAGAATTGAATGCCAAATTTTAAAACGAATTTTATTAAATGAATATTATTAAAATTTTTGAAAATAATTGAATTTTATTACTTTTGAAAATAATAATTGAATTACTTCGAAGAATTTAATGCCAAATTTTGAAACAATTGATTTTTGCGAAAAAATTTATGCAAATTCTATTTTAAATAATTGAATAAATGTAGAAAAATTTTTTTTAAATAAGTGAAAGTTTGTGAAGAATATTTTAAAAAATTTGTTTAATAATTAAATTCTTTCGTGAAATTTTATTAAAATAATAGAATATTGAAAACCATCGAAGAAAGAACATTTTTTTAAAATAATTTGAAAATTTGCCATGATTTTTATTAAAATTTTTAAAAGTATTTGAATTCTTCTGATGAATTCTATTATTTATATTAAAATTATTGAATTTTGCAATGAATTTTATTAAAATTCCACAAAATAAATGAACTTTGTCGAAGATTATTGTTATTTACTTATAAAGATAATAATTGAAATGTTGACCAAAATTTTCATTTTGATTTTTTAAAAATAATAATTGAATTTTTGAGAAGAATGTAAAGAATTTTTAAAATAATTGAATTCTCGTGATTGATATTGTTATTTATGAAAATAATTGTATTTTGCAATGAATTTTATTAAAGTACCTGAATATAATTGAATTTCGGTGAAGAATTTTTATATTTATAAAGATAATTGAAATATTGACGAGAATTCAATTTAAAACATCAAGAAAATAAATCTCACTTTTATGAATTTTAATTTTTCAAGGTTTTGTCATAAAATTCAAGTACTTTTCAAGGTTTTCAAGGAGCAAAAAAAATTCAAGTACTTTTCAAGGTTTTCAAGGTTTTCAAGGTAGCTGGACACCCTGAATTTAATTAATTATTAAATATATGTAAATAAAATAAATATGTAAAAAATAAATATATATAATTATTAAATAATACAACGATTATTAATACAGATTAATTTTATCAATAATAAAAAATAATATAGAAAGCAGGCGATCCGAGGATCGACTTTAAGGGTAAAAAAAAGTCGTCTATTTTATTCAGACTTTTGTCACAATTTGATTTTCTATTAGGGTCATTCCAATGAAAACCGTCTAGAGCTGGTTGCTCGATGATTTTAAAAAATGATGTGATTAATATATAATATTCTTCAATAAAATTGGATTATATTTTAGTGGTTTATAGCCCCAAATATATTTTACATTCTTTTAAATATTTTTTTTAAATGTCTAACTGTTTATGCAGTCTAACATAACCCATTTTGCGAAAACTCAGTATAAATCATTAAAAATAGATTATAAATACTGATTTTTATTTTAAATAAATATATTTTTGCTAAATTCATTTAAATAAACGAAAATTATTTGAAAATAACTCACCAGAACAGATAAATCAGAATATTTTTGTACTTGCACAGTATAATAAACATGAATTTCTTTTTTTTATATCTTCTGTGGAGAAAAAGGAATTTTCACTAAACTTTTTCAAATTGATTTATTTTAAAATTATAAATTTATTTAAATTGAAATTTTTTTGGGACCTGTACTCATTAATTATTTAATAAATATGAAAAATTTTATAAATTTAACCTGATTTTGATTAAATTTTTATTTTCATGACTAGACTGAAGTTTGTTTTCTTTAAACGAACGACAAGGTGATGAACTTCAGTCCAGTCATGAAAATTTATTAAATAATTAATGAGTACAGGTCCCAAAAAAATTTCAATTTAAATAAATTTATAATTTTAAAATAATTCAATTTGAAAAAGTTTAGTGAAAATTCCTTTTTCTCCACAGAAGATATAAAAAAAAGAAATTCATGTTTATTATACTGTGCAAGTACAAAAATATTCTGATTTATCTGTTCTGGTGAGTTATTTTCAAATAATTTTCGTTTATTTAAATGAATTTAGCAAAAATATATTTATTTAAAATAAAAATCAGTATTTATAATCTATTTTTAATGATTTATACTGAGTTTTCGCAAAATGGGTTATGTTAGACTGCATAACCAGTTAGACATTTAAAAAAAATATTTAAAAGAATGTAAAATATATTTGGGGCTATAAACCACTAAAATATAATCCAATTTTATTGAAGAATATTATATATTAATCACATCATTTTTTAAAATCATCGAGCAACCAGCTCTAGACGGGTTTCACTGGAATGACCCATTATTCTGACTTTTCTCTCATTTCCAGAGAAAATTTTTACTTTTTCAAAAATAATAACTCCCATTCTAAGTTTTTATAAAATTCAATTATTCTCAAATAATTTTCTGATATTTCAGGCTTCGCACTCGATAATTAATTTTTAAAAAGTAGCAAAATGTAGCTTTAACCCTCTGCTGATGCTAACTTATCCCCACTCTATCGCCAAAGCACGTAACTCCCATAGTCCCCACCAGACGTCCAGAATGACGATTTTTGACGATAACGGTCGTTAGCATCAGCAGAGAGTTAAGACTGAAAAAAAGTAGTGAAAAGCAGCTATCAAAAAATTAAATTTGACAAATCAAAACTCTGGTTTTAATCGATTCACAATAGTTATTATTCAGTAAATTCCTGACTTATTCCAGATTTCCATAAAAAATATTCACTTCTTTTATTATCCTACTAATAACTACAACTCTATTGAAATAAATGATTAAATGAAGACTCGTATACTTGTAATCTCGCGGGACTTATTATGACTTGAGGGCATTATCGCACGGCAAATATCGCGGATAACTTATTTATTGCTTTTTGGGTTTTTGTAATAGTTACTTAATTAAAATATCGTAACTGTAAAAAATTAAAAGGAATAATAATATGTAGTTTTTAAAAATAAAAATGTAAATATCGCAAGAATTTGAATTAACAAAATTTATGCATTATAATAAATGAACGAATTCAATAGTAAACTAGTACCACAAGAAGAAAGATACTTGGTTTTATTATAATAATTTGATAAGTCTTATAATATAAAATAAAACTCTTTGATAAAATATTCTAAGGAAATTTTAATACCAGGAATTAATATTTTAAATAATTTCAATATAAAACCATCTTGACAATTTGAAAACAATTGAATCGTTTCAAAGAATTTTTTTTAAATTGTTGAAATTGTTTCTAAGAATTTTATTAAAATTTATGAGAATAATTTTTGTATTATTTTTGTATTTCAGTTTATTAGCTGATTTAAAGTAATGTAAATTCTAAAAAAAGGAGAAAGATCGCTTTGACTGTCACAAATCTAAAAAAAAAATATCCGAATAGTAGCAAATCGTAAAAAATGTAGTTGGTAATAGACTTTAGTAGATGAGTGCTAAAGCCTGTAAAATATTATATGTACGAATTACAAAGTTTCTAAATATAAAATTTAAGTTTCTTATTTTTATTGCAATCAGTAATTTACGAAAATATATTTATAATAAAAAATATTCCGTTCCATTGAACATTCAATACTTGTGGATCATAAAATACGAGCTTCATTTTAAAATTAATTTTATGTTTTACTGACACTTTGAAAACCAAAGTAAGAGTAAATTTAATTTAAAACAATTTACCTTCCACACTAATTACGTGATTGATGACTATAGGATCCGGTGGATGAAGTAGTGGATTTAAACGTGACGGAATTTCGGCAAATTTCATTCGAGGACAAGCAAAGATTTGCTCCAAATATTTATCGCAATTGATAAATTCCCTTTCGTGACTATCCTGAAGTTTGTGTGTCTTAATATATTGCCACAAAGCGGAAATAATAACAGGACGTGTTTGCGTGTGAACTCCAAGTAATCGCGCTAGACGTGGATCTAACTTGAACTATAATTCGAAAAAATTAAGCAATTACTTTGAAAATTCATTATCAATTTTGAATTAAAAAAAACTATATTTGAAAAAAATGAATTAATTAGTTTGAAAATCCATTACCAATTTCGAATTTAAAGAATTTTCAAACTTTGTTCCATGGATTTTAAATTTAAGTTTAAAAAATATAAATTTTACCTGCAAGGGCTGATAGTCAAGTAGTAAAAGAATAGTGCATCGGACATTTTTATCTCCTGGTCGCTTTACTTGGAAACCGTCTGTTTCTTGAGTTGTTAATGTGCGATGCCATTCAACTAGATGATTGTCAGGACCGTACAAATCCTTATCTAGTTCGATAACTAGGCTTTTGAAGAAGGACGAAAATTTTCTTTTCACCTGAAAAAATGACTTAATTACACTTTCGTCATTTTTTAAAAATTAGCAATATAGACTTAAAAGATTGTTTTAAAAATTAGAAAAATGAAATAAAAAGAATAAAGTAAAATAAAATTTGTTTACTTTTCAATGACAAATTTACCTTGTTGGGATCGTTTTTACTGTCGTCCAATAGTCTTCCTTCGACTCTAAGTTCCCAGGAGGCTACACAGCCCTCCTCGCCTTCACCAGGTTCCTTGGCCGGATAAAAAGTGTTCGAAATGAATATTCTAAGCTTACGTTTTTGCTTCATTGGACGTTTTAAAGCCTCCTGAATATCAAGACGCTTTCGCATTATTGTCGCGTCCAATTTACGTTCAAATGCAAGTAAATCCATGTACGCCTGTGATTCTGGCACCAAATCACGTACTTTTTGCGGTAGAATCTTGTCTGCCAATTTTTTCTTCTTCTTTGAAGTGGAATGTGAAAAATCACTGTTCCAAAAATACCTAAATGAGTTTTTGTGGAAATCATAGATTTAAAGATTAAAAAAGAATTTGGAAAAATTTGTGCATTTGTGCTAGGCCTTGATTTTGTTTTTATGAAGTCGACGTGAGTTTTTGTTGAAGGATGATCTATCTGTAAGTTTCAAGGAAAAACTTTGCGAATTTCAGTAGAGAATTTCTTTTAATAAATTATCTATAAGTTTTCCCTTGGTTAATAGTACGAGTTATTAGAAAGAAAAATATAGACAGTTTACGCATCTCACGCAACAAATAATGAAAGGAAATGAAACAAAAAAATAATAATGATTAAAAAATGAAACATACGGTTTTTGTTGGGACATTGGAATGCGCTGATCGTTACTTCTCTTTCCTCCTGGAGGATTTGGTATTGGTGCTTGGCGCATTCCTGAATATGGTGGATTTCCCCTCATTATACCACCAGGTCCGGAAACTGCATTTGACATTTGTGGAGGCGGTGTAAAACTACTTCTTTGTTGCATCTAATCATTTAAAGTCGCAGAATTAAATTACAAAACGATGTTTTTCTACAATAATTTAAAATACTTTTGTGATAAATTTAATTACCGGAAAATTTGGTCCCGAATATTGACGCAAATTCGGAGGTACTGACGGAGGTGGATAGCGTTGCGGAGGTGGGCCATTGCTTCCCGTGTTTGGCACAGGAAATCTCTGCGCCATGTTTATTTATTATTAACCTGTAACAAAAAATAAGTTGTCAAAATCCCGCAAATATTTGTAATTTCTAGAATAATATATTAAACCAAAAATTCCTTTTTTCGCACATATAAAATAAACTTTTCAATTCTCAAGATACATCCGTCAATACGATTTTTTCATAAATTTAAAAAATTGAAAATCACTAATTTTGACATTAAAAAATAAAATAATAAATTTACTCCAAAAAGTTTTCAAATTTTTTTGAAGCTTCAAAGTTAGCACATAACCTATAAATTTCTCACTGAATGTTAAACGAATATTCTAAATTAATGCAAGGGAATATTAAAAAAACATCTGTCTTTTTGTATTTAAAATACATTATACACACTTCAATGAACACAAGACACTTGGAAATTAATCGGAAAAAGAAAAATGCTATGTACAAAAATGACAATTGCAATCGCTCGAGTAGTAAAAATTTGATAACACTTGTGAGTATGCAGCAGTAATAATTGTAGAATAATTAATTTGAAACATTTACCAGTAAAAATATGAATGGATATAGGCATAAATGTGGATAAAAAAGCCAAAAGTCACAACATTAAAAAATAACCTATGTAGGCTTCGTTTTCGTAACGGATATGGTTGGGTAGATGAAAATCTGAATATATGACAAGCGCAAGAATTCTTGCTTACGATTGGTCCATATCATTTCACGGTAACAACCTCAACTAATCAGAGCTTTGCATTCCTCTGTATCGATCTTCACATCTGCTGTTTATCGTGATTTGCGTTCTGTTACATAAGTTACACACTGTGTGGTATGCATTGATAGAGATGAATCCACATACCAAAATGAATTGCACATTACACGCACTGTAAAAAAATCTGGTGTAAAATAACACGAAACTTGTAATTTCACACATCAAAATTATAGGTTGTACGTAGTAAATTTATTTCGTTCCAAAAGTAGTTTTACTATTTTTAATAATTTTACATTATACGACTATGTAATTTAATAGTTTTGTGTAAATTTACTACGTCCGACGTAGGAAAATTTGATCACTATGTCCGACGTGGTATTTTTACATTGCGTGTATTTCTACACTTTGACGTAATATTACGTCGCACGATCTGTACAATTACATGGCGAATGTAATTTTCTTATTCCTTTAAGATTTTCAAAAGATTTTCAAGTTTTTATAAATAACTCTAAAAAAGTGTATATAATGTACATTTATAGAAAGTATATGCTAATTTATAAGTAAATAATAATATAACAAAAAGTTTTGGGCTATATTTCATAAATACAAAAAGTTACGATTGAAAATATTATTTCAAAAAATATTTGCAGGTTATGTAGATTACAGTCGGCGTGTAAAAATACCACGTCGGACATAGTGACCAAACTTTCCAACGTCGGACATAGTAAATTTACAGCAGATTTTTTTACAGTGCGGAAAAACCTTTGAGAAGTCTGTCTTCCCACTGTCACAAAATTTCGCTTCTCACTGCATGGAAAGTCTGATCGCCCGCCACTGGGTGCGTAGCATTACCGTTTTCGATAGACAAACTTCCCAAAAAGTTTAGAAAATTACAACTGGGTACGTTGGTCACCCAGTTTGGGAGTGCAGATGAACAAGTTTAGTGGTGGCGCTGACGCATAAGTTTCGGGTGAGCAGACTGCTTAAGGCCGCAGTCCCATGGCAGCGTTTTGCGTTGCGTTGTAATAAGAGAGAATGCAGCAAACGTATATTTGCATCTTTTTCTCTCCCATTACGACGCAACGCAAAACGCTGTCATGGGACTCCACCCTAAAGGTTTTTCCGTGTATGGGCGGTATTCATAGTCGATACTTATTTCTTAAGCAGTGACTTAAGCTGCCACCTAGATTCATAGTCGTGCAATAAGCATTGCCTTAAGCCGCAACTTAAGCATATGCTTGACAAAGTAAATGCTTCGATTTTGAGATGCGTAGTCCCATCTTTAAGAATGCCAAGTATTCATAGTCAAATAAGATGATCTTAAGGGTGCGATCCCATGTGAGCAGAATACGTCGACCGAAAGCAGAAAATTTTGAGAGTGAAAAGAACAACAATATCTACCTATCTCTTTTGCACTCATGATTTTCTGCTTTCGGTCGACGTATTCTGCTCACATGGGATTGCACCCTTAGGCCAATGCAGAATAGATCTGTAACCGGAACCGCAATCGTAACCGTAAGCGTAGGAATGAGTTAGAGAAGGATAAACAATATACCTATCCTTCTTTAACTTATTCTTACGGTTACGCTTCGATTGCGGTTCCGGTTACAGATCTATTCTGCGTTGGCCTTTATTTGTCATTGCCGGTGAACTTATTTAAACGAATTGAGGTTATGATTTTAAGTCAACGTTTTACATGACTTAAGCAATTACTTATTGTCTTTTTATAAACATTTATAATAAGAATGAAAAGATTTTTTGTTAAAAACAATTTAATAATAATTAAAATTTAATAATTTAGAAAAAAGGTTCAAAATTTATAAAATTTTCACGAGAAATAAAAAGTATTTTTTTTCATCGAAATGTTGAAAAAACATTTCGATATGCATCCACATACATACATCCGGAGAATTTGTTCCCCACCCTGCTAAAAATAAAATCAGAAATAAAGAGAGAACGTCAGAAATTTTGATGTTTTGTGACTACTTTGACGATTCCTGAAGCTTTTGGTTAATTCTGACTAAAGGATTTTTTATGCTCCTGTTCAATCCTGATGTTTATGGATTGTGATTATTGAGCATTGAAATCTTTTTTTTTTATTTACAGCCCCTCACCGAAATATAGCCGGTAAATGTAAAGTACCGTTAAAACTTGAAATTTGTGCGTAGCTCTTTTTTCACAATAGAATTGCGGGTCTATTGTTACGAGGTTCGGGTCTCTAACCTAATTTTTATTGCTCAAAAGTTTTGCAATTTTAAAATTTCAAGTAAAATGAATATAAATTCAAAATCTAGAAATCTCCACAATTACAAATATCTAAAATTTATTATAAAAAACATTTTTTTAAGGAAACTGTAACGTATCTCGAAAACCGTAATTGTTAAATAAAAAAGGATATCATTTTTGAATTTAAGTTCTAAAGGATATACTGCATGCATAATAAGAGCATATTGTTAGATAAATTCTAAGTCGATGAAAAACAAGTATAATGTTTAAATAAATATGAATATAAACAAATAAAAAGATTTTCCTTCAATTTTATGACGGTCAGTTGACCTTTTTCCAGGTAAAAAAGGGTGTCGACTTTGTATAAAAAACCTGACTACTTTTGAAGCTTTCTGATTAAACATTACTCAAGCCTGACGTTTTGTGGCTGCAATCGTAACAAATGCAGCCTAAAAACGTCAGAGATTCTGACTAAATTTCTGTCGTTTTGTGATTTTATTTTTAGTAGGGCATGTTGAAATATTTATATACGCTATACTTGAAAATTTGTAAAAATAATTGATTCTAAGAAAATCGACACCCTATGAGGAAATAAAACTGTTAATATTACATAATTATTAAAAATACTATTTTTAAAAATTTTGTAGTTCCAAATGAAAGTTAATTGTTTCACCCCTTTTGTATGCACTCTTGATTCATTGTTTTAGGAAAAATAAGATTTTTTTATAAAAAGTTGCAAAAAAATTCATTTTACAATAACTTTTTTTAAACAAAATTTTTTCTGTCGTTTGTTTGTTAGAAACAATGGCCAAATAAAAATGCTTTTTTTTATTTCGATTATTATTATTATTTTTTAGCATTCGACGTTTTTATCATTCGACGTTTTGAGCATTCGACGAATTAACAGTTCGATGTTCTGACCCAGTAAGAAATGAAAAATTGAAAAGTATTAAAAAGATTCTATTCTTTTGAATGCCATTTCTGTCCAATACTTTTCTATCCAGTGAGAGCAATATAAATAGTAACGATATCAATCCTCTTGAATACCCAGTAAGAAAGCAACCCAGATAGCACGCAAGCTTCCTGCAAACTTGCAGCAAACTTGCACTGCAAGTTTTGCAAGATTTCAGTGCAAGCTTTCAGCAAGTTTGCAGCAAGCTTGAAATGTCTGGACTGCTGCAAACTTGCACTGCAAGCTTGCAGCAAGTTTGCACAGCAAGTTTGTGGAAAGTTTGCACAGCAAGCTTGCTGCAATCTTGCTGCAAAGTTGCAAATTTTTTTTATATATTCATAAAAAATTCTGCTTTTTGTACCTTTTTAAAATTTAATAAAATTAAAATTATTTGCAAAAAAAGGTAAAAAAAACATAATTTTTTATGCATACAAAAAAATTTTGCAACTTTGCAGCAAGGTTGCAGCAAGTTTGCTGAAAGCGTTCTACAAACTTGCTGTGCAAACTTTCTGCAAGCTTGCAGTGCAAGTTTGCAGCAGTCCAGACATTTCAAGCTTGCTGCAAACTTGCAGAAAGCTTGCACTGCAATCTTGCAAAACTTGCAGTGCAAGTTTGCTGCAAGTTTGCAGCAAGCTTGCGTGCTATCTGGGAAAGATTAAGAAGCATTAAAAAAATTCTATCCTTTTGAATACCATTTCTGCCCTATGCTTCTGAATTCTGCGACAGTAGTATAATAATATAATACTAATATTATTGACATATAGAATGTTCAATTGCTTTCAAATAACTGCACTCATGAATTTATTTGCTATTTTAAAAAGGAATAATTATTAAATTATCAGTTAAGAGGGTTAAAAGTGTTTAAAGGTCTCTGAAATTTTTAGGTTATGATTTATTGTCTAACAGAATAACGGCCCTGACTCGTTTAAATGACGTTAAATTGGTAAACAATCAATTTTTCAGCAAGTTTTTCTTTGAACACAAACACTTTTTACAAAATCTGCCACTGTATGTATACTTATAAATTACAAAAATCCAGAAGATTGCTTGAATGCATGCAGAAACGCGGTTCCAATGAAAAATTGAAAAGTGATGTAATGACAGGCTGTAATAATTTTGGATGGGATTGGAAAGCATTCAGAAAAAAATTTTGTCTTTGTTAACAATTACAAACAGAATTGAATAGCATTCATTTTTAGACGAAACGTGGTCCTATCATGGTATAGAAAAGTATTAGACAGAATTGGCATTCAAAAGTATTGGATAATTTCTACTACACCATAATTACAGAGTTTGAATTATTTCAATCCTTTTCAATTTTTCGTTTCTTATTGGGTGAGCATTCGACGTTTTTATCATTCGACGTTTTGATTATTCGACTACTTTACCATTCTACTACTTGGCAATTCGAACAGATGGCGTTTCGACTACTTTACCATTCGACTACTTTACCATTCTACTACTTGACATTTCGAACAGATGGCGTTTCGACTATTTGAGCATTCGACGATTTGAGAATTCGATGTTTTTAGCATTCGACGTTTTGATCATTCGACGTTTTGCACATTCGACGAATGGAAAATTCGATGATTTAAGCATTCGATGAATTAACAATTCGATGTTTTGAGCATTCGACAAATTGATAATTCGACGTTTTGAACATTCGACATGTTGACGATTCGATGTTTTTAGCATTCGACGTTTTTATCATTCGACGTTTTAAACATTCGACGAATTGAGAATTCGATGTTTTTAGCATTCGATTAAATGAAGATTCGATGTTTTTAACGTTCGACTAAATGACGAT